TTGGAGAGTAATGAACGCGACCAATTGACGACGCGTTCGTTCGATTGGGCACGTTCAGAATGAATGCTATCGAAGTGATGAAAGGATCACAGGTCATGCCTTAGTTTCTTGCGGACAACTTGATCACAGAACGCTGAAATCACTGACCCTGAAGTTGCAGCACTGCCACTGCTTTGCAATTCTCGAAACATTTCCTTCAATCGACCATTTTGGGACCTCAACGATTTGGCTCTGGCTTCAACTTCTTCGGACAGTTTGTGGAGACTTGCTGTGGATTGCTCGAATTGAATGAACAGTTTCTCAATTTCACTATTTTCAGAAGCGCCTGTAGCCGCCTTCATATTACTATGAATTTTTTCGAGTTGTGTCAGTATACTTTGTTCATCGGACACGGTTGGATCTTCACCCGTCAACTGGTCGTTCTCCTAACATTTACCAGTAAAACATTACATTTTCTTTTAGACTTAAACATTTAAAATGAAGGAACGCCAAGTCTACAAATTCCACATCTTGTTGTGCCACACATCACTTATCACTGTACTAAACCCATCTGTGCAGAAATAAGCTTGACTTTCACGACGCCATGTAACAGTTTGCCGACTAATAAAGATGTCCGCCCTTTTCCGTTTACCTATCCACTCACTGATGTAAGCTTCTAACGACTGCTGTTTCCACAGGTTTCCACAATTTAATGAGCAGTCCGTTTGAACTTGTCGTTGCTACTGTTGCGGGTGGTAGGTCAGTGCACGACGTATGGCACTGCCTGCATACGTGGTGATGGTGGTATAAAGTGTCTCAATTTCTCTCCTTCCGAGCGTAATGCGTTTATAATCGAGTTTGGAGGCGATTGCTATGCATTTACTCAATCCCACATCACTATGCTCAATCATGGAAGGATTTTTCGTATGCACAAAGCTGATCCGACATACACACCTCCCATTCCATTTGTGATTTGATATATCTGAAAACATTGAATCATTTAAACTCGCACATACATCGGATTTTTCAATGTCATCATCGACCTAAAATGAAGGAAACAGTCTATTGTTAGATCATTTTGTCCGATAAAAAATTATATCCAGAATATGAGGAGGTAGGTGATACTTCAAGTTGCCTTTCAGCCGGTGTCGATGCAATACGAGCTACGTGCAACAGCAAATGCTACATCTACCAGCACTCAACAATTTAACACACAAAACCCAACTTTACCTAATTGTGAACTCAAGCTCTTACTCTTGGTGCATGGTCCGTGTATTCGATCATGGCATTACCAAAAAGAAGCAACTGTTCAATAATCATACCGGAAGCGTCTTCATGGGGACAGACTGTTCCTTCAAGAGGTTTAGTGCCCGCTTCATGTTGAAGAGCTCTAGTTCCTGCCTTTTTTGCTGTGCAAACAGCAATTGTTCGTGCTCCTTCAATTCAATAAGTGTCCTGTCTCTAAGGTGAACGGCCTCGATACTGTTCTCCTTTAACTCCGCCAGCTTCGCACTGCACTGACGGATCTCGGCGGCCATAGAATCCAGTGTCATAGTGTAAGTTGAACTCTCCTGTGTATAGACAGCAATCCCAAGCATTCATATATTTTTAAATATTGGAAACTTGAGCTGAGTATTCGGTGCATGTAAACTACATCGATGATGGTTGAACAAAAGCAGTTTTAGCAGTGTTCCTCTGAAGTGTGTAGTGCATCTATTCCACTGCTGTTGTAGCAAAAGAAACAACTTACGCTCATTAATTTGTCTCGAATAGCCTCATAGGTGTGCTTTATGTGCATTGTCTCAGCTATCTTCGTGCTCGTTTTGTCCAGCTTATTTTCCATGGTGCGGATGAGTTGAACCAGGTTTAGTTCCTGCTCGGTGAAATAGGAGCCTGTGCCCATTCGACTCCTGATCGCGTTCACTTCTGCTTCCACTTCGGCCAATCTCCTCATTTTTGTACTAGGTGTAAATATCCCTTCATAATCACTAAGCACAACGTGTCTCATGCCAATAAGACCTAGAAGCGCAATCAAAGTGGCACTAAGTGGGGCTCATAGTTGCCAGCGTTACTCACATTCCTTTTAGTGTTCAACATTTCAAATTGCAGCAGCATTGCCTATTTCTCTAAGAAGTCCCTAATTTCAGATCGTCAATTCCCTCAAATACTTAAAAAAGTGACCCACATCGTTTGATATCGAAGAGCATTTAATGCATTTAATTTGCTTGAAACTTCATAATCCAATTCTGCAAGAGCTTTCTACTAAATGAGTCTGTTAGTTTGTCAATCGCACCTCTGCTGACTGATTTGCCATTCGTATGAGATTGTCCTTATTCTTCTGGAATGCCTGGTCCATAATTAACTCGGATTTCTAAAAAATGTGAAAACAAACAGTCTTTACATCCAGGTGTTCGCTATACTCATGACGAAGGTCTTGAATTTCGTTTCGAAGGGCGTAGATCGTGGCTTTCGCTTCTTCAATATACCGCAATGAGCTTTCGTGGTAGGCCTTAGAATCCCCTTCTAGAATGTATTGAAACAATTATAATGAATGGAGTCTTTGCAATATCCGATGAATATATTCTATTACTTGTTCAAGCATCATCATCATCATCATCATCATAAGAGGAAGGAGACTGTTTTCCATACAACTGGTGGTAGACATGGGCTACAACAAAACGGCATCCTCACCAAGATACCTAAGCTTTGCCTTCATATCCTCGAGTTTCTCCACAGAGAATTGTTTCTTGGTGAATATTGCCATTAAAGTGCCAGGGTTCGTGTATCTCCTGAAAGTGTAGAATCGGAGTCGAAATGCCCAATCTAAGGCGGTCGATAAA